ATTTAAATATTATAAAATAACACTATTTCTAAATTCAATTCGATCAATTAACATTTGATCATGCGCAGATTTGACCTAGTTTCTTTGAAAAAGAAATACATTAGAAAGAAACTATCCGTCTATGAAATTGTTACTGATAATATAAATTTTGATATCATGATANGGCTCGGTTTTGAAAATGTGAAAATTGAGAAATTACGGCTTCTATTAATTTTTTAGAATTTCAATTACGCATTTACATACATCATTTACAAAAACATTGACATATATACTACATAATACATACTACATACACGTTACAAATAATCATATATTGATATTTTACTGATTAATTAAAATACAATTATCATTTCAAACATTTCGAAATATATTGTCTATTTTCTTGTTAGACGTAAGTCTACTAAAGAAATACTAACTATTATGAGTAATTTACATCTTGGACCTGGTAAGTTCATTAATTATAACATAATTTACATATATATTCTATAACATATTATTAGAAATTTTATTTTATTTTTTCTTTATTGAAACAAATAAGGTTTTCAATAGAATGAATTAATGTATTTCTTTATTCTAAATAATTTTTTCATAAATTAATTATATAAATTTATATCAAAATTAAAAATTAATCTTATATTATTATTATTATTTATTGAACACATACTTTTTCAATAAAAATAGAAATCATTTTATTAATACATATTTATGTAAATAATGATAGGTTTAAAATTTTTTGCAAATACAATGATTTTTATTATAAGAAGAAAATATATAAGAAAAATTATTTTATTTAAAAGATAATTATATTTAATGTAACTTATAGATTCCCAGAAACCACCAGAAGTAAAAGGACAAGTTCGTTTATATGGTATGAAATATTGTCCTTTTACACATCGAATTCGATTAATACTTTCTTATAAAAAAATTCCCCATGATAATGTTAATATTAATATCAAAAATAAACCAAAATGGTATTTAGAAGTATGTATTATGTATCTTCTTATATAATTATATAATTTTTAAATATAATTATATTTAAAAATTATATTATTAAATTTATATAATATATATTATATCTAATAATTTTTTTTAGATTCATCCAGAGGGTAAAGTACCAGCACTTGTTG